TCGGTGTCCCACTCCTTGAGAGGCATCGGGGCTGTTTCCCGCCCCCTACAGCCCCCCTGCATGCCACGGAGGTGGGATGCTCCAGGGATGGGGGGAGCACATGGGGGTCGGGGCACGGGGACCCACTGAGGTCTCCGTCAGCTCCTGGGGAGAGGACGTGGGAAGCCGGTGCGTGGCTGCTCCTCCTCCCGTCGGTCTCGCCGTGACCGGGGTCCCTCCGGAGAGGGGCTGGGAGATGACAGTGCGTGTGGCCACGCAGAGGGTGGCTTGTGGTGGGGGAGCACCCGCTCCATCCATCAGCTGTTGCCCGGGCACCGCAGCCAGCCACCATGCAGGCAGGCACCTGCCCCAGGTCCTGCATGGCAGACACCCCATCCGGAGCACCTCAGCATCCCCTGTCCCCCCTGCTAGCCACCATACCCCCAGCCTGGGCACCAGCCATACACTTGTACCGATGGTGATGTTAAATTCCCATCCAGGTGACAATTAAAATGCTGTAGACGACCCCGACTGGCTGGGGCTCCCGGGGAGGGAAGCCGTGTTGGAGGGGGCTCCTTGCCACCGGCAGCTGTTTCCATGGGATCCATCACTTCTCCAGGTCTTTACATGGAAATACGTTTTTATCAGTGGTGCCTAACGTTAATGTCCCAGCGGACACCACACGGGGCCTCACCACCCCCAGCAATGCTGGTTACCTCCACATTGAAACCTCCATCAGAGCCGCGCTCTGCAGAGCGGTGTTGATGGGTGTTAGTTACCTTTGTAGTCCTTTAAGCCTTTGTTGGTAAGTTCTAGCTCACCCCAGTTGAGTTTAGCAGGATTTTGGTGCTCTTCCTGCCTGCCCGGCTTCCTTGGGCACTGAAAAGCTCTAACATAAACCTGACAGATGAAGTGAGAAAATCGCCCAGACAGCGCTGCTCCTGGTGTCACTGCGGTCAAGAGTTTTGATGCAGCGTGACCATCTGGGCTGGCGTCCCTGCTGGGGGGGGAGGGTCCCAGACCAGCACCTCTCTGGAGCCTGCGATTGTCTGGGGCACGGAGCCGTCCCCGGCCCCGGGAGGGGTCTGGTCCTCTGCTGCTGCCACCACAGAGCTGCCAGACCTGCCTTGCATGTCCTGGGTTGGGGGGGGGTCTCTCCATCCCACCTGTCCCTCGCAGCACAGGGACTGTGACTGTCACCAGTGGTACAGGGGAATGTGGTCCCCCGCATGGTGTGGTGGCCATTGCACACAGGGCAGGGTCCTGGTGTTCCCCACAAAGGCTCTTCGTGGTCTGAGTGCAACATCCCTCGTCCTCTCCTGACCCTTGGTGTCTTGCTGGCTCCTGCTCTGTGGCACGGGGACAAGTGTCCTGCCCATCTCACTGGAATGCTGCAGTGCTACGGGGATGGGCAGATGGGAACAAGCAGCAGCGTGTGGCTTCATGTCCTGCCGGGAGCCACTCTCTGCCTGCTCCACTGCCTGTCCCTGCCGAGGTGTGCACGCTTGCGGCCAGCCAGTGTCCCCGATGCCCGTGGCATGTTCCAGCCTGGCACACAACCGCCCTCTCCGGTGTATTGGGGCAGGCATCCACTGCCGGGCTGCCCAGCGCTGCCCTGTGAACAGAGGTCTCCAAATTGCCTTTCCTGCCCCAAACAGCCCTCTGGCCCCGGCACATGCGGCTTCCCAGGCAGGCGGCAGGCAGCTCTGCAGGCACCGGAGCCCACAGCCACAACAGCATTGGTGTAAAGCTGGGAGGCATTTCCCACTGTCCTGGGGAATATGGGGTGCAGCATCAGCACCCCAGAAACTGCTGTGCAGGGGACCAGCATATACACCTCAGCCGGGGGAACTGTGGGGAGATGCCGAGATGAGCAGAGTAGAAATGATGATGGAAATGGAGCGTCCCCGGTGCCACCCAGACCCCTTGGCAAGATGGGGCCCCTCTAATGAAGCGCATGTTAAGGGAGCAGAAAGTGGCATCCCCTGTGTAGGCTGGGCATGTGCCTGGGGACAGTGTCCAGGCTGGGGTTGCAGCTGGTTTGATGTGGCCTCCTGGGCTGACGCTGGGGCTTCACGTAGACAGTCTTCACGACGGATCTTCATGCAGGGGAGCAGGAGCCGCGCTGGGCACGGGGGACGTGCAGGAGGTGCAGGTGAGGAAAGTGCCTGCCAGCCCCGGGAAGGAGCTCAGTCCCTCCAGCTTGCTGGGAAGGAGCCGAGGGTGAGCTGCTGCGCAGTGCCGATGCCTCCACGGGGACTGGGCACCGGTGCTGAGGGCTCCAGTACCCCAGGGGGAGCAAAGGTCAGGGACCAGCAGCTGGTACACATTCACATGGGCTTTCCCTTGACTTTCCACTAGGAAGCAATGCAACAGAGATGGGAAAGAGAGACCAAATGGGAATGCTGCAGAAAGTTGTGGGGGTCCACGGTCACAATGCTGTTTTCATCACAGGATGTAATGTTAACGCACACCCATAACTGCTGCCAGCGCTTTGCTTCCCATTCCTCCCCTGCCCGGGAAGCCAGAGCCACTGTGATGGGCACTGTGCACCGAGGGCAGCTGTGGCGAGGTCCAGCCACACTGGGAAGCCTTTGCCTTTTCCATGCTGGATGGGATCCAGGTGTGGAAATGGCTCAGCGTGGGCGGCTCTTCCCTCCCGCTCCAGGCCCTTGTGCCGTTGGAGGGACCGGCTGCACCCACACCTCCTCCAGACCGAGGGCATCCCGTGCAGGCACACTGCCACTTCCCTGGGACGCCGTGCCCGGCTGGCACTGCCAGGAGAGCCTCTGGGATGCCCTCCCACACCTCCTGCTCTGGCTGAAGGAGATGCCGCCTGCCCGGCCCAGGTATTCACCATCCGTGCAGTCACTGCGGTGGAGCCTGGTGGCCTCACGTCCATCGCCCTGGACTGGGTCCTTGCTGCCTCCAGCCCACCCAGG